TTTAGTATGATGGGAGGAGTTCTTTTTCCAATTCCTTCAAAATCCTTAACATCCCAAGTCTTTATGTAGCTTTACTGTTACACCTGAAACTAATCAAAAACTATTTCTAGGTTGTTGGATAACTTTTATTAGTTTAGGAAAATATTTGTGCCTCATCTTTCCATTCATACAGGGCTCACAAGGCAATAGTAAACAACCATCTGTATCAGGCTAAGAAACATGATTTCCTTTACAATTGCTTAGCACTTAAAGGAACCATAAAATAATCCTTTGGGATCATTACTCTTTCTAAGCACATTTACTTGAAAATTTAAATTACTTCCAAATAAATGTGAATAAGAGGGAAAACCAAAGTGGTGCATGTGAATACACAAAAGGTAAAGGTAAAGGTACCCCTGCCCGTACGGGCCAGTCGTGTCCAACTCTAGGGTTGTGCGCTCATCTCACTCTATAGGCCGGGAGCCAGCGCTGTCCGCAGACACTTCCGGGTCACGTGGCCAGCGTGACGAAGCTGCTCTGGCGAGCCGGCACCAGCACAGCACACGGAAATGCCGTTTACCTTCCCGCTATGAAGCGGTACCTATTTATCTACTTGCACTTAGGGGTGCTTTCGAACTGCTAGGTGGGCAGGAGCTGGGACCGAAAGCCGGGAGCTCACCCCGCCGCGGGGATTCGAACCGCCGACCATACGACCGGCAAGTCCTAGGCACTGAGGTTTTACCCACAGCGCCACCCGCGTCCCAGTGAATACACAAGCATGCACACAAACCTCAAAGGAAAAAGTTAAAGTCAATCAGAATAGTTTTTTTAAAAAAAAGATAAGTAATTTGGAATTAGCTTAGAAAAGCACTGGTTGGAAACTGTTTCCTTATAGACAAATGAAAAGGTAAGAGACATATTGTTGTCGTGAAACTGTAGTAAATTACTGTATTCCTTTATTCACCAGTGTTATATACAAATATCCTTTGTATATACACAAAAGTTTGCCACTAAGAATGATATGAAATATAAGAAGTATAATAGTTGTGGAAATATATGCTCACCAATTATTACTCCAAATCAGGGGGGGAATATAATGGGAAACATGAGCAAAATAAAATGGTAGCAGACAAATATTTTCTGCCATCAGTTGCTAAATGTGGTATATAACAGAATACATTAACTCTTTCCTGCCTCAGCTCCTTCTGTTCCATTAGTGTGAGAGTTTATGACCTATATATTCAGTGTATAATTGGGGTATATGAGGGGATAAAGGAGGGGTAGTAGAGATAAGTGGATACAGAATTGCAGCTTAAGAATGTTCACTCAGAACTATCCACTGAGTTCAATCATATTTACGCTTTAGTAAGTATGTTAAGACTGCAGCCTTCTAACTTATGCATCTTTACCTAAAAGTAAATTTCACTGACTTCAATTAGACAAAATCCTAAATAAGTGTGCACATAATTGCAACTGTGCAGAGCCTATCCTATTCATGTTTATTGAGATAACCTGAGTTCAATGGAATATACAGTACACCCAAGTAACTGTGCATAGGAAAAGCAGCCTTCCATAGCAATACTCAGAAAGAAAAAGTCCCACTTTTTTCAGTGCCATCTATTTCCCAAAAGTGTGCAAAGTTATGCACAAGATTCAGATATTGGTGATCCTTCTATAACATCCCTGCATTCTCTTCTTTTGAATCATTCACATAATCCATCAGAGCCAACCTATAATTATCATCTAAAACACCTAGGTGACAGATATAAATTAAATACTTCCTGTAATTTTGTTAACTATGAATTATTTGAATATTTTGAATGACTTTACATCCTGATATTAAATACATGGAAGTAAGTCCTTGCAACATGATAGTTGTGAATGTGATCCTGATTAATGTGCATGCCAGATACATGCATACACCCAAGGTAAAAATGAAAAACGCCAAATGAACAGTCTCTTCTACGTGCAGATATAACTTCACTGGATGACTGCTAGTGTTTTTAGGAGCAGCATTTTATCAAACCTCATTCCAAAATACCAAGGCTGCAATCATATGCATGCATGCTTCAGTTGGAAATGTATCTCATTGAACTCAATGAGAGTTCAAATGGCCTGGTCTACATGTCACATTAAAACCATACTTAAAAACAAAATATGGTTTAATGTGAATGTGCAGTATGCTTTAAAAATTGTTGCTCCACTCCAATGTTTGAAACACAGATATATAAGCTAGGGGCCAAATGGCACCTTTAATCAAGGTTACAGTCGCCAAAATTGAATGTCTAGTTGCCATTTTGGGGCAAGATGGCTCTAAAGTCTTATTTTTCAAATGATGAACTGACTGTGGTTGATTATCAGTTAAACATCTGGCTAGTGCAGATGACAACCTTGAACTAGGAGTTGAGTTAAGTTGAGAACTTAAAGAAGAAAAGTCACTTGATCCACATATATATTGGCCTATTCCTGTCCCTTTTTCTTAATGGTCACTCAGACCATTCTTAACGTAAGAATATTCTTCACAACTGAGCAGGGCAGTGGGGTGGGGTAAGTGAAGACAAGCTACAACAGTTAACTATAGTGTTGTTCACTGCTCCTGTCTAAACATCAGGAGTTAAAGTTTTGCAGGACCTCCTCCATCAGCTTGAACAGATCCAAGTCTTGGCTTTCCCAAGTGCAGACAGGCTGTGCAAGCAGGAGGAGTGAGAGCAGCAGGGACCCGGTGCAGCCCTGCCACAGGGATCAGGTGATGGGGCAAGCGGGCAAGTGAGCTGCTGGCCTCCAAGCTGGGCTCAGCACTGCTACTTGTAGCAGGACCCCAGCCCTGCCTCACACAGATGGAAAAATGTGGAGTGGTACATAATGCTCTACAAAAGATGCAGTCTTCTGCTGCTACGCAACTGCGCAAATCAGCTGGCTTGCAGAAGAAGAGACTGCCCTTTCGCTGAAGCACTATGGTGTGAACCAGGTGACTGTGCCATAGCATGGCAGCAAAAAGCCCCGCTGCTGTGCACCAGCCTGCCAGATGGTGGAGATATTGGGCGCCATCCTGGTGCACAGGCATCTTCACTTGGTCGCAAGTGGCCGAAAACCAAGCGCAAAAAATTCCGGGGGAATTTTGAACATGGCTCCACTCCTGCTGTATCACCAGGAAACAAGTGACTCTCTGGCTTGCTGTGATGCCTGAACATGGGTTTGTGGTTTGTTTTCCCCAAACACATAATTGAGAAGTAAAGTAAGCCAAGATTCACACGTCACAACAAGCCAGACTATCTTGTTTTCCAATGGGTCAGCAGCGGACAAGCAAAGGGAGAACTTTTGAGCCGTGTGCACCTTGCTTTTTTACATTAAACCATTGTTTGTTTTTAACTATGATTTAATGTGCTAAGCTTACCAGGCTTATGTTTGAGATGAGGGTGCAAGTCACATTTCAAGATTCAGTGCTTGCTAAGAAAACATCTCATATCCTGTAAAAAATAAAGTGATGGGGGGAGGGGGAGAATCAATACTTCCTTTATCTTAAATAAAATATGGAAATATAATTGCTTAGAATCCAAGCCTTATATTTTCATAAAATAATTCATTCTCTTTACAGCTGTTCTAATACCAAGGAATAAATCTAGATTAATACACTGTTAGATGTAAATCAATGAGACAAAAATAATTTATTGTTTCTCCAAAACATAAATAAGTGTGTTTTTCTGGTTATAAAATGAACACAAATACAGATTAAAATTTCTTCATATATTTTGACATCAGCAAAAATATTAATGAAAAACAATAAAAAGCTAATAATCCCAATTCTAAAACTTGCAAATTCATACCAGAGAGGACACAAGGGAAAGAGAATAAGAAAACACCCAGGAGGAAAATGTCATTGCCCTGGCCTGCTGTCAATCACACTTGGGAGAAATAGGATCTATTGCCATAAGAAAGTTCAAAATTAATGATTGGAGTTACTGCTTTTGCATATAATGAATGGCAGAATAAAGAAACTGAGACAAAGATACTGTGTGTGTGTGTGTGTGTGTGTGTGTGTACAGTCTTCGCCTTAACAAGGTAATGAGACAAGAACAACACCAGACAGTGATGTCACCGCATGAAGAAACAAAGGAAGCTGCACAAGCTGAAAAACTAGAACCCCTGTTCTGTGGCCTAAATGAAGAGACTATATCTGAAATCATCATTTAAAAATGTAATAATTAAGTTATCAGGTCCAGAAAAACAGTGTCATCAATTAGGTGTGAAACATGCTTACACAGAGGTAATCCCCACTGAAATTTGGAGCTTGCTTCCAAGTAGAAATGGTTACAATCTGTTTTATTCAACACAAGATGTAGCTCTGTTTTATTTTTGTTGCTGTTATTTATATTTTGCCCAGTACTGTGTTCCAAGCTTACTTCTGAAAGCTGTTTTCTATAGATCTGCCTTTTAAAAAGGAAGCTTGGCATATTAAAAGACAAACACAGCAGCATTTTAAAGCTGAAAATCAGACAAGAGAGGCACAGAAGAAGAAACAAAGAAAGTCTCCCCCATCAGGCTGAAAGCAAGAGGTTCAGCTTCGAGAGAGGTCTGGACAGTTGTCAAATTTCAAACCTCAGGAGTAGAATAAGCACTGGGGGTGGGTAAGGTGGAGGCAGAAGGGAGGCCCCCAATTTCTGACATTCACCTCATGCGGTATAAGTATTTTGGTTAATATAGATTCCTAGCCGCTGCAGAAATGACACAAGTATGAGGGATTTTCATTTAAAAAACAAAACAACAACACCCCAACAAAACTGTGTACATGCACACAAATATCAATAAATGAAGCCTCTTCCCCACCAGGTTGTCCTGGTGTTCCTGGGGTTTTTTTGTAGCCTTCCCGTCCACCTTTTAAATTCCTCTCCTTCCCCACCCCGCAACCCCAGCCCCGGGTTTGCCCGTCTGACACGCGCAGCCGTTCTCACGGCGACCCCGACCTCCTCTCAATTTGTTGTGTTTTCCCCCTGCCCTTCTCCTCACCCCCCAACACACGGTACCTGATATGGCGGCGGCGGCTCCTGATCCGGCTCAGTCCCGTCCCCATAGCTGGCCCTGTCCGACTGGGACTCGTGCAGCAGGGAGATGTCATCCGAGGTGGGGGATTTCAGGCAATTCCCCATCTTCCCCAAAGGGAAGTGGGGGGTCTCCTCCTCCTCCTCAGAGACACAATGGCAGCTCCGGGCGACGGCTTTCCTCCGGCCTCCCCTCAGCAGCAACAGCAGCAGCAGCAGCAGCAGCAGGAGCCCAGTTCAGGAAGCTCATGCCAGCCTGCCAGCCTGCATAAGCAGCTTAGCCCCGAGTCGGCTCGCCCCAGGGACCCGCTGCCTCCTGCCCGCCCGCCTCCCCCTCTTCCTCGCCGCACCCCGGCGGAGAAATGGCAGCGGGGTGGGGAAGGGAAGGAAGAGCGGTCTTAGCCCTCGGCCGCCATCAGGGCCTCGGCGTGGGGCTTACTTAGCCCTCCGGCGGGGGAACGGGCAGGGGAAGCGGCGTCGGCGGCGTCCAGGTATATACACAGAGCCCGTCTCCTCCCTCAGCCCCAAGCGCGGTTCTTCTTCCTGGTCACCAGCCTTCTGCGCACTGAGCTTTTGTCAGGCAGGCCTCTCTCCGGAGCTCCTCCTCCTCCCCTCCCTCCTCCCTCCTCTCGCCCTGATGTCTACTCTACAGGCCCGGCTTCTCTCGCTGCACGCCTGGCCCCCACCTTCCCCTCCGAGCCAAAGGGAGAAACAAGCACCTTCAGGATCTGTGGCGGCGTTGAAACCAGCGGCTTTTTTTCCTTCGCTAAAGGAGGCATTTTGTCCCGATATGCTTTCCGTATTAGGTTCCCGTCAGATTACGCGTCTCGTTCTAAAAGGAGGGCCTCCCCCTCCCCGACACAGCTGTAGCACTTTTGTCTGGAAGGTGTAACGTTGCATCCCCTCAAATAAGAAGCAGCTGGCAACCTTTCTCCGTTAAGACCGTCGTTTTAATTCAGGGTAACTGTAGGGAGCCCGATCCTATTTATATACTTTCTGAGAAATCCCAAAGACTTGCGGCCGGATAAGTATGTTGGAGATGACAGCGTTAATATGTTGGCTACTTCCCCATTGCGCTGACAAGTGTTGTTTTCTCCCACTGTGTTGTTAGGTGGGGTGCATATTCTGATTCAGATTGGTAATGGCGAGCATAAAACCAAGAGGCAACAATGGTTTTGTATTAACTATTAAAAAACAACACTAGTTTTTATAACAAAAAATAAATAAAAAATTATGAGACACCAGAAATTATTCTCTAGCTTTGCTAATATTGTTGTAGGTTGGCAGGGAGCTGATTTCCCTAAATTGCTGAGTGCCAGATCCTCCCCATAATTCCTGGATTTAGTAAAAGTCAGAATTAATCAAGGTTTGATTAAACTTTGCCAAACATGGACACCCTCTGGATTTAGTTATGCTAACGAGCCAAGGCAGCTCTGCAGAGCTAGCTGGATGGGCCATTAGTAGTGGACAAAACCATCAGAGGGCAAAACTGCCCTCTGCCAGGTGAGGGAGAGTAGGACCTCTTTGCTGGGTGCTAGTGGCCAAAGGCAAAGGCCAAGTTTAGAGTTTCAACTCTGAATGATATTGGCTCTGAAGGAGGTCCTTGAGTCTGTAAGCAGGGAGGAGAAGGAGGGAGAGAACTGCATGTGATCTGGGAATGACAGCCAGGAGAAGAGATACACAGAGCAAGGCTTTTTGCTGTTCTTTGAATCAAATGCTGCACTTACGAAGGCCAGACCTGCTTGGAATGTGAATTCTCACAAATTAGCCCTTCATCTGTATTTAAGTTGTATATATGTACAAATAAACCATATATCATAAAGATGCCAGTCTCCACTGTGTCTTATTCCCAAAGGAAACACAAACCCTGGGTAAATGCCTAGAATCCCTGAAGTGCACCACTCAGCAGAGATTGAGTGACTCAGCAGAGCCTTATGTGACTCACGACCACAGCACCTGAAGGATAGCCTCTCCCACATGAACCAACCTGAACCCTGCATTCATTACCTGAGGCCCTTCTCCTTGTGCCCCCTCTAAGGGAGGTGCAGAGGGTGGGAACACAAGGACGGGCCTTCTCAGTAGTGGGTCTCTTTATGGAATGCTGCCCCCAGGGAGGGAGGCCTAGCAGCAGCACTGTTTTTAAACACCAAGCAAAAACATCCTTATTCACCCAGGCCTCTGGATTGTCTCTGGCTTTTTGAGGAGTGGTCAGATCACCACCTCTTTCAGGATGGCCAGGACCACTCTCTCCTGCAAGGATACATTGATTTACCCCTGGACTCATCTGGTTTTACCATTTCAGCAAGTTCTAGCAGGGCAAGGGGCAAGAAGACACATCTGCCGCATTGTCCTAAGCACCTTGTCTGCACGGGTAGGCTGCATCCACCAAAACTGATCCCATAATGCTGCAACCGACATTGCACCTCAGTGGAGACTGCAGTGGATGTGGCATCAATATTGCTGTAGAGGTGACTTTAGCCTTGAAGTGCCTTGCAAAGTATTCACAGTGGGTTTCCAAGAGTCTAAAACTTTATTCCCTGGAGTAAGTGTTAATAGCCTTTTAGCAGGCTGGCTACTATCTTTGAAACTGGGAGGCAATCCACTATTGCTAGTAGGATTTAAAAAATGGCTTCAGTTCAGTTCGATTTGGAAGTAGACTGCTTGAGACCAGATAGAAAAAAGCATCATAAAAACTTAAGCTGGTCATCTCAGTGGAGGTATTAGTACCAGTCATCTGCAAAATAAGGACAGGTTATGTAGTGCTAAAAAATAACCCACCCATATTTCTACTACCATAAGCCAAGTGGTAAAAAGACAGGAATTCAAAATTGTGTCTACTCTTTATAGATCAATTCTGAGACTATAGCAAAAGGCCACCTTAAGCCCCATCAAATATATTTATAAGCAATTTTAAGGAGAAGGGAATCATATTTTTCCTGCAGTATGTCATCAAAGTTTCAGACTGACTGTCCAGAAGAAAGGAACTGTCTGAGAAGTGACAAAAAACAAGGGGCCTGTTCGTTCGTCAGAGATCACAGGATGAGACAAAAGACAAGGGGCTGTTCATTTGTCAGAGATCACAGGATGAAGGGAGATCACCATGCTGATATTCAACATTGTTAGTTTGTGGCCAAGGTGGTTGTTAGGGCTGTTGTGGGTTGTCTTACTCACCCTCTCCATCAACCCCGCAATCTCCAAGAATTAAAAGTCTACCCTGCAAGAGGCTTGGCATGCCTCCATCTGATCACAGATCCCCTATCCAGCTGAACATATACATTTTCTACTCCCCATGTGAGAGGGCAAGATTTCAGCAATCCATTTGATTACTTCATATGACTGTGATATGGCACTGTGGACGAAGGCTGGCACAACAAAACTGACAACACTTTGCACCACAAGTTAGAACATAGATGGAATGCACAACCCTACCAAAGTCAGTAGGAACACAATATTCTTCCCTCTTGTGTTAATTTAACATGGTGACCACAAAAATATTAACTCAAAAACATGAGTAATTGTTGAACTTCAACAAGTATCGCAGTGACCTTGTGAAAATTCTGTGTAATGAACAGCACAGGTAAAGATGGCACAGTATCATACACAGGTATCTGTGATTCACCAAGGAAAGGGAAAGAAACAAACAAAAAAAAACAGTGAGAAAAGAAGCACTGAAGCAAAAATCAAGTTCTCAGACCATGTGCAACCAGTGGAGCAGCAGCAATTATTTGCCAGCACCAGACTTCCACTGGGCCACTGCTGCCACACATAAGTTGATGTACCATCATGATTTGTGTTTTGAACCAGAGTGTGCTTTGAACCAGTGTGTTTTGAACCAGAGTGTGTTTCGAACCAGAATGCCACTGGTTCATGTCTCATGGCCTCGTCCTGGTGGCCTTGAACTTCCTAGGTAGCTTTAAGCAAGTCACTATTCTCTCTCAGTATATCTGCAATATGACAATACTAAAACAATACATTTATTGTCATTGTACAGCCTATGTGCAATGAAATTAAATGAGCCTCCCCCCCACAAACACTCAATCTCTTATCAAACAACACACCACATTGCAAGTCAATTTCGCTATGTTATTTTCCGTTCAACAGCCTAACAGCCCATGGATAGAAGCTATTTTTTAGCCTGTTCGTACGGCTGATTATACTTCTATATCTCCTGCCCGAGGGTAGAAGATTAAAGAGGTCATGGCCGAGGTGTGAGTCATCCCTGAGAATTTTTCTCGCTCTCCTAAGGCAACGATCCCTTGTGATGTCATCTAGCGGACTCAAGGGACAGCCCATGATATCATGTGCTGTATTCACCACCCTCTGTAGAGACTTTCTGTCTGTGGCTATCAGGCCAGCATACCACACTGTGATGCAATATGAAAGGACACTTTCTATTGTGGACCGGCAGAAGGAGTTCATCAGCTGTTGTTTAATATTACTTTCGCAAGACCCTGAGGAAATGGAGTTTCTGTTGGGCCTTTCTGACCACCTGAGTTACGTTGATTTTCCAAGTGAGGTCCTCACTAAGGTAGACTCCCAGGAATTTAAAGGAGGAGACTCTCTCCACACAGCCCCCCCCCCCGATATACAACAGGGCAGGTTCCCCTCTCTTCTTCTGGAAGTCCAACACCATCTCCTTTGTCTCACTAATATTTAGGTGCAAGTTATGCTCTAAGCACCATGTAGATACGTTTTGAACCTCCCTCTGCAATTAGGCCTACTTTGCAAGGCTGTTGCATGCAAGGATTATGGCAATAATTTATGGAAATGCTATAAACAGCAGAAACGGTCTAAGTTCTCATAAATGCTACGTGATTTTTAGATTTTCCTACTAAAATCTGAATGGTTTAATCATAAACATGTTCTGTTAAATAACATTCCTCCAGAGGAAAATGGGATTTGTTCTGCTGAAGTATTGAAATTTAATTTATGCCACTATAAGTATTTGCCTATTCACAGCCATCTCTATCTTGATCTGAGAAGGGAAAACCCAAATTATGTCCATACTAGGAACACTGGGAGGGACGCAGGTGGCACTGTGGTGTAAACCACGGAGCCTAGGGCTTGCCGATCGGAAGGTCGGCGGTTCAAATCCCCGCGACGGGGTGAGCTCCCGTTGCTCGGTCCCTGCTCCTGCCAACCTAGCAGCTCAAAAGCACACCCAAAGTGCAAGTAGATAAATAGGTACTGCTCTGGCGGGAAGGTAAACAGCATTTCTGTGCGCTGCTCTGGTTATGCTGGCCACATGACCCGGAAAAACTGTCTGTGGACAAACACCAGCTCCCTTAGCCAGTAAAGCGAGATGAGCGCCATAACCCAGAGTCATTTGTGACTGGACTTAACTGTCAGGGGTCCTTTACCTTTACCTTTTTAGGAACACTGGAAGCTCTTCCACTGAGCTATGGCCCTTTCCCACATGCTGTCCACACAACAACCTGAATACAAAGATGTCTGCCATCTCTCACCTAAATTAAAATGACTTCCAATATGTTTAGTCAGTTTTAATTTCTGAAAAATAATTCAGAATTTATGTTGCCCAGTACGTATACATTTTTTTAAAAAAATCGTAAGACACATTACTACTATTCAACGGCTTTTTCGTCACAAAACTCAGATTGTAATTTCTCCATGTTTCATGTAAGCATATTCAAAGAATTTGTTTAGTGGGAAACAGAACCATCAACATTTGTGAGAAGAGTTAAAATTATTCACCAAGATGTAAAATACCGATCATGGATTTTGCACTGTAGAAATCTTGGTCAATGGCTGGTCCACTTGTGATACTGTCGTAGAAGAAGGTGGTATGATAGCATTGTCAGGTTCTGACTTTAAAATATTCTGCGTCTGGTCTGATTGTGATATTTCAGTGGAGAAGGGCCCTGTGATAGCATTGTCAAGTACTGGCTTCGAAATTATCAATGCTTGGTCTACTTGTGATACTGTTGTAGAGTAAAGCCCAATGACACCACTGTCAGTTTCTGACATTGAAATTGCCAGTGCCTGGTCTACTTGTGATACTGTAGTGGAGAAAATCCCTATGACAGCATTGTCAAGTCCTGTGTTAGAAATTGCCTGTGTCTGACCTGCTTGTGATACTTCAGTTGATAAAGGCCCTGTGATAGCATTGTCAGGTTCTGGCTTCAGAATTGCCTGTGTCTGGCCTGTTTGTGATGCTTCAGTAGAGGAAGGCTCTGTGGTAGCATTGCCAGGTTCTGACTTCAGAATTGGCTGTGGCTGGCCTGTTTGTGATGCTTCAGTTGATAAAGGCCCTGTGATAGCATTGTCAGGTTCTGACTTCAGAATTGCCTGTGTCTGGCCTGTTTGTGATGCTTCGGTAGAAGGCCCTGTGGTAGCACTATCAGGTTCTGACTTCAGAATTGCCTGTGTCTGGCCTGTTTGTGATGCTTCAGTAGAGGAAGGCTCTGTGGTAGCACTATCAGGTTCTGACTTCAGAACTGCCTGTGTCTGGCCTGTTTGTGATGCTTTGGTAGGCTCTGTGATAGCACTGTCAGGTTTTGGCTCTGAGATGGTTGGTTTCTTTAGTGTCACATCCTTTGAGGTACTTGGTTCTTTAACATCATATAAACAATGGTCTGGCTGGACTCCTTGCAATGCTTTACTAGATATTGTGAGATCATTGTCGGATTTTGATTTTGAAATAGTTGTTTTCTTCAGTTGTGATGACACATCATTAGAGGTACTCTTCTCTTGATTATCTGGCTGTTGTGGAACAGGAACCAGGTCGTTTTTGGGGGGGACAGTGCTGGAACCATTATCCATGGTCACGGACTGTTGGGAAGAGACCTCATCACGTACATCAAATAATGATTGTATGCTGTCACTGGACCGAGACGGAAGCACAATCGCTCTGGATCTTATAGTCAAACCTCTACATGATATTTCTGAACTGCCTTCTGTATCAGAGCTGCCATATATTTCCTTCATAATAACAAATTCCTCTTTGGAGCATGTTTTAGTAGCTGCAATGAAAAGGATCACATTGTTCATTAGAAGTGCATGATTTAAAAAATGTAACCATATCATAAATTTATATTAGATAGAATGAGTTGGAACCAAAGATCTGTCTGAGGAAGGGGATGAGCAGAAGCTGTTTTTACCAACCCTCCCTTTCACTGTCAGCCCCATGACACCTCTAAAATGACTCCCTCAAGAGATGGGAGACCCTGATGAATGGATTTGGCTGTGGCACAAGGGAAGGGAGAGATAGTAAAGGTCAAGGAGAAGCAGATTCTGCGAATAGGAGTGCTGCTTAGATGCCTGATTTTCAGTGATTTTGGTGTATTTGATACACGCATATGAGTTCAGAGTTCCTTCTACACATGTGCATGGACGTAGCCAGGATTTATTGGGGGGGGCAGGCTTTCTGTTTGGGGGAAAGAACCTGAGTTTGCTATGTATTTTTATTTATTTTTATTGATTCAGGGGGGCAGCTGCCCCCCCTGCCCCCTCCAGCTACTCCCATGCATATGTGCTATTTTTCCTGTGGTGTAACTAATTTTTAATATTTTTGTGTATTCGTTAATTATTTATATCTCACATCTTCAGCCCCTTGAAAGGATCCTCGCAGTAGATAAGAAAACATGCACAAGCATAAAAGGGCATCAAAACGTATTTAAAAAGTAAAGAATAAAGCAACAAAAGCAATTCAACTGATTCTTGCCATGAAACAAAGTAGCAAGGCCATAATAGAGATTTGCCAAGCTGTGGTGAGTCAGAATGGCAAATGCACCCCAAACTTAGGTAGGTTGCACCAAGGTTGCACCACAATTCATTACATTTGTCAGGCAAAAGAGAAATGGGACGAATAAAAGTAGCAGAAAGAGAAAGGTGGCAGAGAAAAGGAAAAAGCCATATAGGACAAAATTTTAAAAGTTGGTTCTAATTTGCAAGTTGGAGTTTAGGGTAGATGTATTGAAGACTCTCTTATTAAAGAATAATGATTATTGGCCAGCTTTTCAAAAGCATATACAATGTGTGTCTGAAAAGAACCATTTTCACTATACAGTAATTGAAAGTGACCAGAAGAGCTAGAATCTATTATAGGGTTTTTTGTACCCTCTTCCATACTGCAAACTTGTATTTTAAGTGTTAAATTTCTACAAACAAAATGCAGCTTTAATAGGAACTGCAGGTTCTGAGTATTAATGGGGAAAAGTGTTGTTTTATTCCTTTTGGCACTTTTTTGTGTGAAGAGATCAAGATTAGATGTTCCTCATAAGGAAGTCCATGCACTTTAGACAACATGGTCTCTGTGTAAGAGCCCCTTCTTGTGGATGGACAATACAACATGGTATGATGTCTTCATCTGTTTGTTTCATCTATTTGTTAACGTTACATTTATTTCCTGCCCTACATTTATTTCCTGGCCTAAGCATCCTCAGTCATACAATATTATTGTATGTAGGGGTATATCACATTGTTACCAAGAGCCTTTTCACAAAATGTTTTGCCTGAATCTAATTTTTCTAGTCTTTAAAAATAGACAACTGATAGTAGGAAACATGCCTTTCCATATAGTTAGTAGTTTATATGATTTCTACTTTGTTTTATTTTACAAGCGATGTCAGCAGTATAACAAATTTTCAAACTGCACTCTTAAGTTTTAATACCTGTTGCCAATATTTGATTTTTCCTTGATTCCTGTGAGACATAAAAGGAAAGATTATCATCAAAGCACCATGATTATTATATTCAAAAATGATATAAAATAAAGTACTTTCAACTGTAGCTTGCTTGGTTTATAGCTGGCTTGTAAGAGACTCAGGAAGCCTCTGTATTCCTGTTCTAGTCGATCTGTCCTCCTCCAACCCCTGTTCTGCAGAAACTCACCTACTGAGACTTCTGCTCCAATGTAATTGGTTTCCTATGGCTCAGAGTTGCCATTTTACAGAAAGACCTCCCTTGCTAAACTAGTGCAAACGTGTTTAGGTTTGAGGTATTAACTTGGCCTCAAAATATTACCAGTGCAAAAATGCCACATATATTAACAGTTCATTTTCCATTATTATATTTTACCTGTGGTTGTCCAAAATGAAAATTCTGTGAAAGAGAAATAGGCGGACAACACTGAGAAGCAGTGTGTTTCCATTCCTTTTTGCATTCTTCGCCTTTCAAACCAGCTTCAAGAAATGGAACAAATTGCCTGAAATGCATTTTAATATATAAATATTATGGTTCTATAGATCATGAATCTAAAGAACTAACATGTAATAAAATTAAACAGCAAGGTCTTAAAAAATCTTCGCTGGTATATATCAGAGGTGGGAACCCTAAGGCCTAGGAGCTGAATGTGGTCCTCTATTCCTCACTATCTGGCCTTCAGAACTCTCCACAGGCCATGGCCCTCAATGACTCCTTGTTTTTGAGTGGCTGGAATGTGCTCTTGCTTTTCTGGATAGAGGATACAAAGTGGTATGTGCTCATGGGCAAAATTTATATCTGTTGCTCCACTCCCTTTTTATCTTTATTCAAAAGGCAGCTGGCAACACTGCAGAGGGAAGGAATAGAGACCACCATTATAAGGCACTAGTTGTGGTAAATTGCAGAACCCCAAATTACACAAATGTATATTTTCCTGTAACGGGGAATGGAATCCCAGGGTTATTTGGATCTGTTTGGCATATGTGCACCATCTTCTGGTAGAGAGGTGGGGAGCCATAATAACCTTTCTCTACCTGGGACTTAAAATGTTTGGTATGCTCATAGTCAAAGGGGCTCTCCATAAAACATTGTGCTTGTGGCCCTTTCCCAGTCACACTGCCCCCTCCTTGCCCCCTCCCACAAGGTTAAGGGACACCATCAGACCCTCCAATTGTCCCTATTTTCCAAGGACATTCCTGATTTAGAGAAGGTGTCCCAGTTTCTGATTTGATCCAGGAATGTCCCGCTTTTTCCTAGGATGTCCCTATTTTCACTGGAGAAAAGTTGGAGGGTATGGAATTGTCCAACTCCCGAGTCATCTGAAGACAATCCTGTATAGGGAAGTTTTTTTAATGCTTAATGTTTTATTGTGTTTTCATATATGTTGGGGCAACCCAGTAAGATGTGTGGGGTATAAATAGTAAAATTATCATTATGAAATTGGATGTCATTGGAGAAATGTTGGAGGGTATGAACCACTTGCCCTGTGGAGAGGGAGGGAGGCAAAGACAAAATCAAGGCCTGCTCCAATTGGACGGTCCATCTCCCCACCTGGGCAAAATTTCCACGTTATATACTTTATTTATCTTAGTAGCTTAAAATTGTAAGTCCTCTTGGGTGCCTTGGCAGAAGGGCAGTATATAAATGCAATAAATCCGTCAATAATAAAAATTCCCCAGTTCATGGAGATGTAAGAGGTGCGATACTCAACCAGTCCTTGCCCTAAGCCCCACACATCCCTATCGTGGAAGCAATACAGCAGGATTGTTAATTGTGACTGTCTGGTATGAATATATTATGTCAGTCCTTCCAGTCCATTTCCAGTCCATATTAACTTTTAAAAGCCCTAAACAACTTGCAGTCAGTTTACCTGAAGGATCACCTCCTCACATAAAACTGCCTCAACTTTAAGAACATATTTTGATGCCCTTCTCAATATACCACCACCAAACATGGTGTAGAGAGTGGCTGCTAGAGTGAGAGCCTTTTCAGTGGTGGCACCCTGGTTGTGGAATACTTACCCCACCCCAAAGAGACTTTATTTCTGGTGACACTGTGGTCTTTTTGGTACCTTTTAATTTTATTACTCTATTTTTTATTTATTTATGTCTTGAAACATTTATTGCCTTTCAGATCTTTGGGATTTTTAAGATACATTGTTTAGAATATATATAACAAGATGAACTACTAAAACCTTTAAACCTACCTTCTATTATAGTACAGGTAACCTGCTGCTAATGCCAAAGTAAACAGAGCTAGTCCAAAAATAGTAGCACATGCTATAAGGGCAGACGTTACATGCGTCAAAACATCTAAATAGAAAAAAATATTTTGAAAGTTAATAGTATGTACTCAACATTTACTTTGTGGGTGTTTCTTCTTTAAAAAAATCACACTTCTGTCACAAACCAGACACTTTGAATGTGCAAAGCTAATTAGACATTTATAGCAGCATATCCATGTTACTGAATGCAGGTCCTTTACACAGCTGTAAAGCAGAGTGACGTAGGGCAATTAAAAGTAGGTGGGATATGGGTGCTGACCTCTCCCTGTCCTTCACTTTTGACCATAACAATCCCTTCACAAAGTTGTGTTTTTGACCTTTTGACTCCAGTACCAGAAATAAACCCAGCTAGCAGAAATTCTGCCAGACATCTAGGGCTGAAAGGAGCAAAAGCAATGGGAAGAGAAGGGTCTCTTACTCCCTTCCTCCTGGGCTGTTTCCTCTGGTTTAAATTACCATCACCACTACTTTACAACAATCTATTTTTCCCCTATGGGCCAAGAGACAGATTACTTTAGAAGTATACATTTCATTCTGTAATTTGTCTCTCTGCCCATAGGATAGAAAAATAGATGGTGAGTCTTTGGTCAGCATTGGCCTTTTAAAATTCTGTTTAAAACATAGGTAAAGGTACCCCTGCCCGTACGGGCCAGTCGTGTCCAACTCTAGGGTTGCGCGCTCATCTCGCTCAAGAGGCCGGGAGCCAGCGCTGTCCGGAGACACTTCCGGGTCATGTGACCAGCGTGACTAAGTGGCATCTGGCGAGCCTGCACCAGCGCAGCACACGGAAACGCCGTGTACCTTCCCGCTATTAAGTGGTACCTATTTATCTACTTGCACTTAGGGGTGCTTTCGAACTGCTAGGTGGGCAGGAGCTGGGACCGAAAGACGGGAGCTCACCCCGCCGCGGGGATTCGAACCGCCGACCTTGCGATCAGCAAGTCCTAGGCACTGAGGTTTTACCCACAGCGCCACCCGCGTCCCACTGTTTAAAACATAGATGAGTATTTAAAAGTAATATTAGATCTAGCTGTATTTTTCCAACAATTTTCAAAATCAGCCTCTACAGTACTTTAATACATTTGGCACAGATTGTTTTGCCAATATGACAGAATGCATGCTGGCAACAAATGTATTGCTCTGCTTTCTTTTGAACCACATCAGCAAGGCTAAGAGTGGGGTCTTGCCATCTGGGCAGCCCAGGACCCCCATACACACTGCTCAAGCTTGCACCCCAGGGAGGTCACTTTGGTGCTGCTAATACAGTGGTTTGACTTCACCCACGGAGGCGCACTCCATTGTCTCTCAAGGCAGACAGATGCCAACAACAAATTATTGCCATCTCACTGACAAACAGAACTAGGTTGTTTAGACACATAATAGAACCAGCACTTCCCAAGGTGACACAACATAGTGAGCAGGAGAATAGAAAATTAATTAAGGATATGTTTCCGTGTTTTTGCCAGATTGCAGGCCTGTCTATCTAACAAGGCTTAAGATATTACCAATAAAACACTTATGGATTGTAAAAAAAAGTACAGAATCACTCAAGGCAAGATGACTTGCCATTGCAGGATGACTCATGGGAAGTGCTTCATGAATGAAATAATAATAATGATGATGATGTTTGTCTACTCCATCTCCAGCAAGTCTATCATATCAGTAGCTAGAACTTCAGAGACTAAGGCTAAGGTCTGTAGCAGAAGTCCATAAACAGGGCCCTGTAACCAGCAAGGAACTCAGAAATTGCAAGGCTCAAAATTATGTTCCTTCCATTTTGAGTGATATCAGCCTTACAGAATTTTCCAAGGCCACCAAGATTATACAAGCTCTATTACTCAGGCCACAATCTAGCACCATCAGCAGTATGGGGCATACTAACTCTTATATTTATGCAACTTCATATACAGTATGTAACAATTTACTGATATGCCAAAAAGAGAAAGCACAGATGTTTAGAATTTGGTGTCAGACTAGAAATCCTTGAATACAATTCTTATTTATATTTATTTTTTATTTGTGTTAACATTTACAAGACATTTCCCAACTAAGCGGCGTCCTCAAGGCAATATTTAAAAAAACAGCAAAGAAAATGAAAACAAACTTAGCATTAATTTAGCACTGCCAGAGCAAAACAAGGACGAAAGTGAGCAAAATCAACAACAAAGGCAGCAGCCTCAGCAAAACCAGCAGTCAGAGAAGATAACTTATCAATACTTAAAACCTGTTGGAAGTATGACATCCTTCCCTAAATATATGAAGGTTAATAAGGGGCCAGAAGAGCCTTTCACAACTTTGGCTTCACTTCCCCAAATAAAAATATTTTAAATATAAAGCAAACATGGTTTGTAGGACTGTCCTATGTTTAAAGAAATCTCAGCTGATCAATCAAGCTGGTTTTAATTTATTAATCTATTAAATCTGCATAAGTTTGCATTATTAAACATTTCTTATGAAGCAAAAAATACTTCCTTAGTGCAAGAGCATTGCCATGATTTTTGTTGGGGGGGGCAGCCAAAGTTGTTGACCTTTTCTTGGGAAATCACGGGTAAAATACCCCTAAATAGGACATGGGGGGCAGGCTTCTTGTGGGGGGGGGAGAACTTCAGATAATTGAGTACTTTCAATGATTTTCAATAATATTTGTGAAGTCCCCTGCCTTGACTACGCCCATGCCTTAGTGTTTTGGATAATGGATACATATTCTGCAGTACCATCTCAAAAAAGGCATTTTCTGTGTAAGAGGGAATGACTTTTCTAAAATGGTGTCTGCCATCTTCACTTTTGTATAAGTGCTCATATTAAAAATGTTTAACATTTGGGGGGGAAATACATTGCCCAATTACTCAGGGACGCTTTTAAAAATCAGGATACATTTTTAAGCTATGCCTCTAACTAAGGAGTAGGTTGCAACATCCATTAGCGCCAGCCAGCATGGTCAATGGTTAGCAATGATGGGAGCATCAGTCCAACAACATCTGGAGTCGCAGATTCCTAACTCCCAAGCTTGCTATCAATTATATGTTATAGCCTTAACTCTTAAAAAATATTATTTCTATTTTACATGTAAATTATAGCATAAATAACAGCAGCGTAAACCTACCTACAGATATTGGTACCGTTTCTGCTTTTGCTGATCGTTTCGTTCTTCCAACAACCGATGGACCTTTAAAAATGTGTTTAAAGAGATATAACAAGATTGGTAAACTCTCTTCCGTATCAAGATGCTTTCTTACCATGAGTGCTTTTAGAGGCGAAATTCTAAATCCCTTATGAGCAACACTCAAGTATTTCTTTTTTATTCTCTTTGAGGGTTGCATGAGATATTTCAGCATTTTTGTCATGTAGATTGATGCCTTTGCTTCATCCATTTCTGAAGTAAACACTTCATTCTTCACACCCACAGCAGTTTTAATGGCTGGGAAGGTAGGACTTATTAAGGAAGGCTGCACATAGTAAATTGTTGATAAAACTTCTATTCCATTTCCCCCAGATTTATTTTCTTTAGCTCTGAGCCACTTGGCTAATTTCATTAATTTTTTGCTTCTGTACATTTTTATTTGAAATGCAGACTCCTTTATTTGTTGAATGTTGGGCATTACAGGTTCATGTGCTGATAATATTTTCTGTTTGCTGGCACTACTTCTTTGGTAAGTAAATGCATGTATAAACGGAAACTTCTCATTTGCATTCATATAATTTTTAGTTCTTGTTTTCCATTTTTGCAACTTGATATTTTCTCTGATAGGAAAGCTTGTCCCCCGCTGAAAACTTTTAGAGAACTGACCATACTTTTTAAATCCCATATATGGGTTGCTCCATTCTACATTTAATACTTTCTTCCCATCAGTCATTCTGAATTGTTCTTTATTGTAAATATTTGGGTTCTCTTTAGAAAAGACCCTTTCTTTGACAGAAGTGAATATTCTATTACTGTTATTCTTAGATTTTTTCTTTTGTAGTACCTCAGCTTCAGTAAGCACTTTTCCTCTTGGTATCTGTGGTTTTACTAATACTTTACTAATACTTTCTAAACCTTCCTGATCTTTTTGGAAATATGCTTCTTCAACATTTAACATCATATTTGTTTGACATGCTATATAAACCAATAGTGACCCGGCTCTTATGGGTTTGTGCCTATTTTCAAAGTATGTGATTTGCAATTGCTCCTTTCTTTTAGTTTCAGATTTCTTTCTAGCACCATTCAAAATACTGTGCCAATTCACTTTTACTTCATAACCATCACATTTTCTGTTCAGAATATTCCTGAGTATGTGTCTTAAATAACTTTTTCTTCTCAGAATTAGTTCACTTCTTCCTAGATGTTTTCTTGAAATGTGTACACTTATGCTTCCATCCGTAATTGGATATGGATTTCTTTTATATAATATTACATATTTTAGCAAGATTTTATGCTGATAGTTCCTGTAAGCATTCTTCCTAGATGTTTTCAAATTTGTTCTGAAGCCACTGTAATTTCTGATTCCCCTTTTCTGCGTTGACTGGTCTAAGATCACATTTCCTGATGTTTTGCATGAACAATTTTTTGCCACTGGTACTGATACTTGTTGATACTCTAGTACATGTCCTGCAACAAAGCAAACAACATTAATTTAATTAAAATATTTTAAGCTGCACCAAGTTCTAGTTATTATAAGACTAAAGCTCAGTTACGTATAAAGCTAATTTTGCCAGTGCACAGTTCTTTAGGACAGGGTTTATGAACAACTCCCTCAGCGCAGAAAACTTTACAGTATGGCAGACTTTTGTAAATTTATAGTGGCATTATGTATCATCACAACTGCTAAGGACTAGTCCATATGTGGGGGTCTTGTAGTAAGGTTAAAGCTTACTGGGAAATGATATATAATGAATTGAAAAGGATGTTCAAAATAACTTTTATTTAAAAAACCCAGAAGCTTTTCTTTTAGGAATTATAGGGACAGAACTACCTAAATTGTACAGAAATTTATTTATGTTTGCTACTGTAGCAGCAATAATGTTACTTGCCTATAAGTGGAAAGAAGCAAGAGTCCCAGTAAAGGAAGAATGGATACAAAAACTTATGGAATATGCAGAAATGGCAAAACTTACCAGAAGAATAAGAAATCAAGATAACAAACTTTTTATAAAAGAATGGAAATTGTTTGTTGAATATTTACAGATAAATTGTAAACAGATAAAAAAAACATTAGGAGGATTAGTGTCATAACCTGCAGTTTTATAAGAGTATATATTTACAGTAGATAATTACATGAGTAAATTAAATGAACTTGGATATGCAGAAGATATTAAGAAATAAAATTTAAAAACCACAGAAAGAGGGGGAAGGAAGTCAAATTTTGGAATGTCAAATTGATTGTAAAACTAATGAAATGTATAAATTTGAAAAGTATAAATAAAAAACTAAAACGACAACAACTGATAAGGACTAGGATTGTCATAACTGTAAAAGCCACATGATGCCTTCTGTCTCTCTTTGTCACACATCACACTCTAGCTTGACACAGAGACACGGTGCCTAGACAGGGTCTCCATGAAGCGCCTGTTTTAGGAGCTATGCAAAAAGGGGGACTTTTTCTCTCAGCATCCCTTTCATCAATAAGACCAGTAACCACTAATGGTGCATGTGGCGAGGCAGAGCCCCCCTTCTAAAAGAAGAATTGCTACAGTTTACCATGCTGCTGGAGCTGGGAAAGTAGCGAGGCATCGTGACCCCCAATCTGCCACACCCCTTAGTGCAACCCCATGGCCCAGTGCAATCCAAGCCATGTCTGCTCAGAAGTAATTCCTATTGAATTCAATGTAATTCACTCCCAACTAAGTGGCACCAGGATTACAGCCTTAGGCAGTGGACCTCCTGCTGTTGATGGACTCCAACTCCCATCAGTCTCAGCCAATCACAGACAATGGCCTGGGATGATGGGCATTGTAATCCAACAACATCTGGAGTGCCACAGGTTAGACCAGGGGTCAGCAAACTTTTTCAGCAGGGGGCCAGTCCACTGTCCCTCAGACCTTGTGGGGGGCCGGATTATATTTTTTTTGGGGGGGGATGCAAGAGCACCATGAGCTCCTGTGGCTGCTTACCTGTGTCTTGCGAGTGGCAGGGGCTGGTGGCAGTGGAGGGATGATGAGCGGCGCGTGAAAGGGCTCCGGAGAGGGGCTGGTTAAAATGGCAGCCACTCGAAGCCCAGCCCCCTTCCTCTTCTAGGCAGGGCGGGGAGAAGTCAGGAGGAGGGAGGTAGAAGGTGCCGCCACTGCCGCCATGTGAGGGAGAGGGAAAGTATGCGCGTGCTGGCAATCCCTGCGGCGATCCCTGGACCATCTGTGGGCCGGATCCAGAAGGCAATTGGGCCTGATCCGGCCCAGGGGCCTTAGTTTGCCTACCTATGGGTTAGACGCTGAGGGAAGTTACAACAGATTATATTTCTAATCAGCTATCACAGCAGCCATTAAAATATACCCAAATCAAGAGGAAGGCCTGCCTATAAGAAGATTGGAACTGCCAGCAGTTCCCTATTTGGAAGGAAACATAAAGGATAAACACACTGGTAATTTAATGTAGATTCATTTGAGACATCTCAGAATTACTATTGGTTTTTTTCTTGTTTGTTTAATTTAGATTTGACTTTGTATCTATGTGAATTCCACCATGGGTCTGGCAGTTGTATCTAACCGATAATGATTTTTGTTATGTCTGAAATATAAAGTTTCCTTTAATTCTCAGGTTTGAAAGTCAGAGAGTGACTCTAGATTTATATTGCTGGGAAATGGCAGTGCCTATGAAACTTGGAGAAGGTATTGAAGTCAATATATACCCCTGCCATGCTTACTGCGTTGTGGGCAGGGCACTAAAACCTCAGCCCCACCAAATAAATGCTACCCATGACTTCAAGCCCATACCACACAGTCCTCCCATTTTTTCCTTTCAAATACCAGCGACAGAGTGAGCAATGAAGGAGCCCCCTAGTTTCATTTCGCAAACCCCATTCCCAGCTGTGACTCTATGCCTTCCTCTCACCTGGCCACACTTCCCAAAGGACAAGCAGATGGCCCAGAACAGGAGACCCTGTGACTGGCACCAGAACCAGCAGTGTAGCCATAAGGGATCTAGTGCTCAGCATGGCTTCCTCCTGGCTGGTGTAGAGGTAGAGTTGTTGTAAATGGTATGTTCCACAGCCGTCGCTGCTGTGATTGTTGGAATGGAACAGGCTGAGCGGGGCCTGACAGTTGAAAACAGTTGGAGCCTGCAGCTGTTATGGTTATGTTGTGCTTGGCTCAAAAGAAGTGATCAAGTCTCTCGTTAATATTTTCATTACCAGTTTACTGCTGCTACAGACCACCCTAAAGGGAGCAACCTTTTCTAGAGCTTTTATCACACAGATCCATAGGGGAGCCTTTGCAACTCCCAAACGCACTTGAATTCATCGGGCTGTAATAATCAGCGGGGACGCTGATAGGATGGAAAATCTCTATATGGAAATACAGAAGCAACTGCATCACCTACAATGTATTATTCCTCTGTGTGAGTATCTGGGAATCTGTGGAGGAGAGAAGAAGGTGGCAGGGAAAGATGAATGGCATTGCTGAGACACAATACCTCAGCAGTAAAAACATTACTAGCCTAGAAGATCAGGGATTGCAGTCTATGGTTGCATTCCTAGTCCCACTTGCCTGGAAGTAAACCCTATCAAACTCAATAGGATTAATTTCTGAATAGGCATGGTTAGGGTTGCACTGTAAAATACAGCGTAGCCCACCTAGTAAGTCCACACTGGTAAGATAAGGCAACAGTAATGTCTGTAGCTAAGAAAAGCGTTCCTATTTTTGCAGGCCAGCAAAACCACAATGTTACTCTGAGGAGACCCAGAATGTCCCATGCATGTCAAAGGTCTCAGGCACAAGCAGCATGTAAGGTCAAACACATGATACATCTACTTATTAAACAAAAGTGCAATGAATGTGAATATGGGAATAATGAGTTTATATCAGTTCTTGTGTTTGTATGGTAAGTCATTGTCCATTTTATATTGAATTTGTTAGAGATAATTCATGGATAGATAGATATGGTGAGGTATAACTGGCAATAAAACTATAGAACACACTCATGCCCCATTCCAGACTGGCAATTAAGGGATGGGGGTAAACCCTTTCCTCCAAGCTGTCTTACTAACAAAAAGCTGCCTTCTCTCAAAGATGTCCCACAACCAAAACATATGACTGTGGCAATCTTGCTAGCTAATTCTCTGGCCTAACACACAACACCTGATCCACAGGGTACACCTTACAATTTGGAGACCTGGCCCAGCAAGCAGGCTGCAAAAGAAAAAGCACAATTGGGCTCCATAGAGGGCTTAGCACACTTGATGACTTTTTTATTTACGGTACTTAGGCTCAGACCTCCTGGGACTTCCTATCATAACTCCACTTCACCCCCCTTCATAGCAAATATCATCTTAAGAAGGATTTAAGCCGCCCCCCCTCCGCCCCGGTGCTGCAGTTTTAATTCAGGCCTAGGCTTGCAGAAGCTGCTGTTTTTAATTTTATACCTTTTACATAAAAATTGCAATCATTGATTTCTTGTCAAGTCCAGTTTGGCCCACTACCATGTCCAGTTTGGTCTCACTACCATGGAAGTTTGTTTGACAACTCAAGCCTCTTCATAGCTGATTTTAAAAGACTCATGAGCATCTCCTCTGAGCTCCCAGAAGGAAAACATGATTGCTGATTTACTCCCAAGTAAATGTGAACAGGATTTCAATTGCTGTTTGAATGGTAAAACTACTTGTACTTTGAAAAATCAGACATCTGAAAAGTTAATACAACTAAACTGTAGCAGCGTATCAAAAACCTTAAACAACACTCAGAGTCTGGTGTAAAGGAAAATTATTCATGCAGGAAAAATACCACCAACCCAACAGGAAACCCAATAGTCATTGAAGAAGAGCCAATACAAATACCCCCCAAAGTCCCAGCCACTCCAAGAGCAAGCCGTAATACACTGTGGCCCTGCCATATTGACATAGGCTATTTCCCCGGCAATTCCTTGGATTTCATAACGGTCTGGATTTTTAATAAACAGGTAATTCCTGTTCAGCTTTACAGAGGGCTGAACACTGCCATGAAAAGTGGTGAGTAGTACCACTGACCAGTATAGGTATATGCAATATTTTCCACAGGTATATAAAAATATAAAGATTTTGTCTATATACCTTGCCATACTAGACCTGATGCAACATGACAAGGAGCCAAAAGGTTGACTAAGATTGATAAGCCAGACATAAACAAGGCTTCTAACTTATTAGTAATTAGAGGAACAAAATTACCATTGTGTAGGTCTTCTGGGAAAGGCTTTAGTGAAAAATGTACAATGTAAAGGAACTCAAATGCCTCTTAATTGTTAATAACTTTCAGTTTTGTCCTCTAGAACTAATCGGCTTGTTTTCTGTTTGCAGAGTTCTCTCCATTTTTGTAGCTTTTCAGCCTTTTGTCATCTCGTATAGGAACAGCGGTACATGGCTTCAAGAACCGGAGTTCAAATAAGACTGTCTAACATAGCCTCATCGTATAGCTCTGCTACTTAATATTGAATATTATGTACAGAATCATTTCTGAAATAGTTAAAAAAAATATACCAGCTGCAGAGTGGTGATGATCTTAACTGACTTTTACCAGTAGCTTTTTATTGTCCACAAGGTGGTGCTCTGTCAAACAAGTAATAAAACAGAAGGGGATATGATCTTGGCTCTGGGTGTATCATGTTGTTCACTCTTAAGCCATGAAGGACTGTAATATTACAGACACACAGAGAGAGAAAGAGATGAGAAATGCATAATGTAACAATAATTTATTAGACAGAAACACACTGTAAAGAGCTATTGTTAATGATTAAATATTATATGGAATTATGATACCATTTAGTTTGATTTCACACCCACCCTATCCCTTAGGCTTAAGATGACAAACATCAGTTTTAAAAACTGCATTTGCAAAATGCATAAAACATGGAATTCAAACACTTACAAACAGAAAACTGAAATGGCTCTGCACTCATCATCACCGCTCACTACAATATGCATTTGGGGAAAATTCCTAGCCTAAGCTTTGGCATGTCGCCAGGTACAAAGTTCCAGGCTAGGGATCAGCTGCTAATAACTTGTCTCTGTGGGCCCAAAACAATTCAAACTCAGGACAATTTCAAGAGGTCCATTCTCTGTTGAATATCAAGATTGCATATGGGAAGGTGCTTACTAGGTAGTATAGACACCAAGGCATTCCTATCCAAATGGTGCCAAGTGTGTGCCATTTTAGCCATACTTTTTTAAAATTATCATTTCATTATCACTCTTTTGCCTTAAATAAGTTGAAATACTTAAGCAATAGTGCTTACTTTTTAAAAGTACTTTAGCACATATTAAAAAACTAAATAAGAATGGACGCAGGTGGCGCTGTGGGTAAAAGCCTCAGCGCCTAGGGCTTGCCGATCAAAAGGTCGGCGGTTCGAATCCCTGCGGCGGGGTGCACTCCCGTCGTTCGGTCCCAGCGCCTGCCAACCTAGCAGTTCGAAAGCACCCCCGGGTGCAAGTAGATAAATAGGGACCGCTTACAAGCGGGAAGGTAAACAGCGTTTCCGTGTGCGGCTCTGGCTCGCCAGAGCAGCGATGTCACGCTGGCCACGTGACCCGGAAGTGTCTCCGGACAGCGCTGGCCCCCGGCCTCTTGAGTGAGATGGGCGCACAACCCTAGAGTCTGGCAAGACTGGCCCGTACGGGCAGGGGTACCTTTACCTTTACCTTTTAAAATAAGAACAGTGTGTGCGCACACGCAAACACAGAGCCTTTCCAGTTAACACCATTTTATCAACACATGTATCCCCTCCCCCATTTTTACTGTTTCCTCCTTAATGCCAAAGTATCAACGATAGCTTAGAAATTTAAAGAGCACTTCAGAAATTATTTTTAAAAATTGATCTGGAACAAATGGCATAAAAAATGGCATACTCTGGTTAATTGTTCCTTTGGCATCCACACAGTTGTTTGACACCCTCTGTGGAATGTAGAAGAAAGGAGAGAGGGAGAGAGAGAGAGAGAGAGAGAGAGAGAGAGAGAGAGAGAAAGCGCTATAACTCTCAATATGTGAAAAGAAAAGTGCAATTCCTCATACAGCTTGCAATGACAAAATAAGAATAGGCCAGGACTAAGTGCTGCCAGATCTGGAAACACCCACAGTCTCTATGACTATAGAACGTTTTTTACATGTAACAATTTAGAAAAATAATAATTATTGGTGATAACTTACTTGTTTTATACTGCAGTGTATTTCACAATAGTGAAGTTCCATGGACAATGCTTAGTGCAGCACAAAAACTTTAAAAAATATATGCATATTGCTAACAGGAAGGAATTTAGAGTTGTAGCAGCATCCTGTAGGATGTGTATATTTCATTTTGATACACAATGATTTACAGAGGGCTGCGCTTTCAGCTATACGTTCTAGTCATTGTGGTTATTAGGATTACTGCGGCTACATCTAAACACAGGAAATAAGTACAAGTATATTGGTAGATATGATATCTATTTCCCACTTTTTAAAAACAAACTGTTTCAATGTCTACATATTACAATTAAAAGAAATGGATTATAATTTGCAGAAACAGGTCACCAGCAAAAAGAACAAAAGAACACAAACTGGCAGTCAATATTATTGTAATATTAGCACTGGTTTCCAGGCTTAGGGCAAACTACCATTTACAATGGAAATGAATGACTATACCTCTGTTTTTAATTACAAATAGCAGTGGCAGGGGGGCGGGAGGAATTGGGACTAGCCTGTGAGGGGTCAGCCGTTTTTTCTTTGTACTTGGAGCCTCTATATCTCAGGAGGAAAACACAAACCCCACATCAATTTCCCTTAGTAGTTAATATCATAATATGCTGATGCTCAGAGCTTATATAGAAGTCAAGGGGAAAGGTAAGACTGCCTGCCTGCCGTCTAGGTACTGCCTCTTTAGTGGAATTATGGTCAGAATGCACTACATGTGTTAGCAGCATAGTTCTTAAAGCAAATAGACTTCCAGGAGCCACCTTGGCTGAAGAAGTAAAAAGGCAGTAATTTCAGAGGCAGTAGCTGTTGGCACAGACTCAACTCTGGGATAATTTGGTCTTTTCAATACTGCCGTTTGTTT